CACTATGGATTAATTCAAGTGGTTTAGTTTCCCTTTCTACCAATTTGAAAGGTATTTTCGTTAGTTTTGCCTCAACACAAATTTCGCACTTGTTATTTGTGTTAATTTGAAAGTTAGGAATATAGTCCATGCTAATTAATCTACGCATAGAATTAAAATTAACATGACCTAGTCTATCATGCCACAAATTGGAAGACTCAAGCAAGTAAACAGAATTAACTTTGCTTTTATTGATAACAGGAATTACACTGAGCTTAAAAAGCCCATCAGTTACATATCCTTTACCAACAAACATTTCTAACTTAGACAAAACAACCTTGTTTGACTCGAACACCATGCGGAAGCCATGCTTGTTCAACAGAGAGCCAAACACAAGATTCTTCCTCAACTCAGGAACATATAGCACGTTGTTCATGTCAGTTCCTTCCCGGAAGTCATCTTCAGAACCACTTTGCCCATGCCTTCCACAACAGACTGAGCAGAGTTTCCCATCCACACCTTTTCACCCTCAACGGTCTCAAAGGTGTTGAACATCTCTCGGTTGCAACACAAATGCCTGGTTGCACTGGTGTCGATGAACCACTCACGTGGGTTAGAGCCCACGAGGTTCACCTCGGTTACCATCGCCGAAAGGCTAATCTCGACCTCCTTCTGACTGCTATCTCCAACAACATTGGCTTCAGAACTCTTGTTCTTCTTCCTTAGAGCCTTGCATTCAGACGCTCTGTGGCCAGGCTTGCCACAGTTGTAGCATTCGCCAAGAAACTTGTTCTTGGAAACGCCACCTTTTGGACCTAGCTTTCACTTGTCCTTCTTATTCCTCTTGAAGCTTTTACCGTACTTCACAACGTTGGCCTTAGCACCAACAACGATAGGAACTTTCCTATCATTCGTCATGTTCCCCTCCTCAATCCTGAGTCGCTGGATCAGGTCTTCCAGGTTCATCTCCTTTCGCTTATGCTTAAGGTAGTTCTTGAAGTCCTTCCAACCTGGAAGCAACAAGTGTATCACAGATCCCACTTGGAAGGCTTCACTTAGCACCATGCCCTCGTCACAGATCTCGTCGAAGATTAATTGCAAATCTTCTACCTGACTTAGCACGGTCTTTGAATCAACCATTTTGAAGTCGAGGAATCGGCCAACCACAAATTTCTTTGAGCCGGCATCCTCACTTCGGAATTTATGATCCAAAGCTTCCCACAACGCTTTTGATGTGCTTATCTTTCGATATACATCATATAGCGTGTCACACAATCCGTTCAGGATGTAGTTTCGGCAAAGGAAGTCCGAATCCTTCCAATAGCCAACTACCATCACGGATTGTGCATCTTGTTCCTTCAACTCAGGAACACTCTCGGACAAGAACCTTGCCAAACCGAGAGTTGCTAGGTAGAACAACATCTTTTGTTGCCACCTCTTGAAGTTCGACCCAACACCAGTGAACTTCTCCGACTTTTCAACCGATCCACTCGGTACCGAAGGTACCCGAGACATGGGAATATATCCCTCAGTGCTCCCACCGTCTTGTGAACCAACGTTCACTGGTGTAGCTTGGGAATTAGCAACATTGTTGTCGTTTCCTCCATTGTTGTCCATAACAACATTATCCTCCCCATCGATTGGCAGTACGGGATGCTCCATTTTCTTCAAGGAAATTCGGAGAAGACCACCAACATGAAAACAAGGATTAAGATTTTAAGACTGTTGGATATCCGTTGGTAGAAAACAAATAATAATCCAATAAAATAGATTATTATTTTTTCTGAAAAAATAAGGGAAGGAAAGATGGAGAATTTGTCTAGTGTTTGGTGTTGGGTTTTTAGCAAGAGTCAAGTGATCACTCTTTTCTTAAAACCTTATTTGCCACCTCCCAAAAGTGCTAGGAGCATTGTGGCCTAGGCTTCCCAGGATAAAACTTGATGTGATTCAATGTTTGAGCACCCAAACAAGGAATCCAGCGAACAAAGCAAGGTTATGAACGCAGTAGGCTTAAGAAAGAGTAGAAGCAGTGAGTTTTGAGGCAAAAAAATGATACTTTCTTGTTGTGTTGTAAATCTCTACTACCCAGCTCCTTCTTATATAGGGGTGGGAGATTAAATAACTTTTATTTAGGCATTTAAGGGCACCCCTCCAACTCCTGTAACAGCAACCATTAACATGGATTTTAATTCAAAATTTAAAATTGGAATTAATTCAAAGAGTTAATCCCGTAACAGCTGAATTAAATCCCAACAGTCACAAACAGGAGCTTCAATTCGACCTTGGCAAGGTCGAACTTTCGGCCATCAGGCCGAAACATCAACTTTCGGCCATTAACATAACTTTCGGCCCAAGGTGAAACCATTTCACCACCAAAATATAATATAATATTGTTATATTATTTTGGGCCAAGGTGAAACATTGTACTTCACCAAGCAATAAACATTAATGTTTCAAGTGTGGCTGAATTGGAAACTCATTTTTGGGATTTGATTTGCAACCCCCCCCCCCCCTCCCCTCGCGCGCGCGAGAGAGAGGGCCTTCATTCTATACAATTCAATAAGCCTAAAAAAAACTCTTGTATAAATAGTGGGGAAAATCCTCTTCCCAAATCAATGTGGGACAAAAGCTCACTTTTTCGCTTCATTTTCCAACTCAAATGGGTGAGAGTTGTTGAAACTAGCATATTGAAAGATCAATCGGCCAAAATAACCATGAGCAGCTACGATATTATAAGTTTCTTCCTCTTGACCGAATCTGTAACCTTCGTTAGCATATTCATTTTCTGTGGTTTCCTTGATCAAACTAGAAGTTACCAAGGAACCATGCATAGCACTGAATAGGGAGCCGCCGAATACACCAGCTACGCCTAACATATGAAATGGGTGCATAAGAAATTAAGAATGTTGTGCTTAGCCTGGAATACAATCATGAATTGAAAGTACCAGAGATTCCTAGAGGCATACCATCAGAAAAACTTCCCTGACCGATTGGGTAGATCAAGAAAACTGCGGTAGCAGCTGCAACAGGAGCTGAGTATGCAACAGCAATCCAAGAGCGGGTCTACTTTGTGAATCAATATCTCATTCACCCAATCCGTTTTGAGCGTACAATATGTCAATCTCTTCGTCTCACTACGAAGAACCCAAATCCATTTTGACCCGACTCGAATTGGAAGTGGACCCCACTGATAATTGTACCATAAAATAACTACTTAAAATGACATTTTAATGCTATTTTTCCAACAGTTATTACTTATTTACACTTTAGATTTATATTGAGTTACACTTTGTATAGAGTTTCAATTATTTTTAATGACAATGATTAAAAAATACATAATCTTTTAATAGGTTAATACCTTACTAAGTATTGTGGTTTTACCACATGTCATCTTAAACTTTTGAACTAACTAACCGCCATCTTTTGAGTATCAAAAACTAACCTCTTATGATCTTCCTCTACTTAATGTGCGAGACTGTTATTAAGTAATTAAATTCTATCTTTCGAAAAAAAAAACTATTCTAAGAAACGCTCCGCATCTTTCGCGCATGCAGTCCGATCGCGATCTCTGATGGTGATCGTCTCCGATCGTGCTTTCTGGACGTGGCCCTCTCTCCTAGTTGTGCCTAGGGGAGTTTCTCCCTAGTGTATCTAGGGTTCGTGTATAAATGGCGTTGTTTTATGTGCATCAACAAGGTGAGCGATCTTTTTGTGACGTTTACGCTGTGCTCTGGCGATTTGTTTGTGGCTTGTGTGTTTCGATTCCGGCACCATGGCAGCACGGTCGCCCCCGGCTCTTAGTCTTATCGAGGATAAGTGGGCTGATCTGTTTCTGGCTGATGAAGAATGCGGTGGTTTAACAGCGCCGGATACCCAGGTTGTCGACGAGGGTACATCACAATGGGAATTGGTGGGACGCTTCCTCACCGATCGGGCGATTAAATTCGAACATATGAAGCAGGTGATGGCGTCGGTCTGGAGGCCAGTCATGGGTATGCATGTCGGCCTCCTAGATGAGAATCTGTTTCTATTCCATTTCCCTCACCCTAAGGATATGCAACGTGTCCTCGACGACGGTCCATGGTTATACGAGAACAACCTGTTGGTCTGCGCGCAGATCAAGCTGGGAATGAGGCCGGACGAGGTAGATCTTAATAACATCCCCTTTTGGGTCCAAGTTCATGGACTGCCAGCGGTTTATGCATCGCAGGATTTCATCACCAAGATTGGTGACCATGTGGGCGCTTTCATGTCGATGGATCCGAATAAATTTGGGGGTTCATGGAGAAGCTACTTCAGGATCCGCATAATGTTAGACGTGAATCTTCCACTCAAAAGGATGATGAAATTACTCCGTAGGGATAACACATCCCAATGGATCACGTTCAGGTATGAGAGGCTTAACCTTTTTTATTTCTGTTGCGGGATTCTGGGGCATACAAAAAAGTTTTGTAAAAAAATCTACGAGGAGGGGATAGAACCGGAGGCTTTTCCGTTTGGGGCTTGGATGAAGGCAGGGCCTAGGCGACAGGTTAAACTGGTCGGAGCGCGATGGCTCTTACCATCAAAATCTAAGGTGGTGGTCGTTGCAACTGGGGATGTGTCACCGTCAGTGGCTTTGGCAGTAGTGTAGGAGGGCAGTGGGTTACACGGTGATTTGAAGAGACGTAGGGAGGGTGATGAGGTATCGGGAGATGACTCGGGGAGGGGTGTGGTGATGGAGGAACACACAAAAACCTTTGCTAAGGCGGGACTGGGGACTCAGTCCTGCCCGCCACAATGAGCATTTTGAGTTGGAACTGCCGGGGTTTGGGTGGCACCCGGACAGTTCATGAGCTAATGGGCATGATAGCCCATGTGCGACCCAGTCTCGTTTTCTTGATGGAGACGTTATCAGTTACGAGTAAGATTGAGAGTTTGAGGGTGCGGTTGGGCTTCGAGGGGATGTTGAGCGTTGATCGTGTAGGGAGAGGTGGGGGTTCTCCGGTGGACGCCTTACGGGAGGCTACTGTTAGTGCCTAATGAATGAACGTGGACAGTGGGACGAGGAGATCCTCAACGACCTCTTTGAGGAAGCAGACGTGCGCAGGATCGTCGCTACCCCCATAGCTACTCACTTGCCGGACTCTTGGCGGTGGGTGGGTGACATTCGAGGAGCTTACTCGGTCAAGCATGGATACAAGATATTAACAGCCGACTATGCTCTGCATACACCTGGGGAGTTCGTTGTGTGGGAGAAGATTTGGGGCTTACAAGTTCCGCCTAAGGTACGCAATCTAATTTGGCGCTGCACCCGTGGCATCCTCCCGGTTCGTGAAAACTTGAAATCTAAAAGTGTGTGGATTGGGGACCGATATCCGCTTTGTGGGCAGCACGTGGAAACAGCCGAGCATTTGTTAGGCGACTGTTGGATAGCACGGCAAATTTGGAAGAAAGACGACGTGTTGCAAGGGGCTTCTATTCAAGCTTTCATTGAAACAGTTTTATCCAGCTCATGTGGGGAGAGGGTTGTGCATATGGCTGCTGTTTTTTGGATGTTGTGGACCATGAGGAATGATCGAGTGTGGAGGAACAAAATGTGGGGAATAGCAGTGATACACAATCACATTCTTGGGCTGATCTCCACATGGAATGACGCTTACAAGCTGGCAGCGTCTAGAGCATGTATGGCTGATGTTTGTGTGATCTGGGAACCTCCGCCATGGCACTGGCTCAAATGCAACGTAGACGCCGCAATTTTGGCTGACAACGTGGGCTTCGGGGCGACAATACGAGACCACGGGGGTAGATTCGTGGCAGCGAAGAATGGTCGGTTGGTCTGCAATTGGGATCCGTTGATGGCAGAGGCTTGCGCGGTTAAAGAAGCTCTCTTTTGGCTTCGTGGTCTTGGCCACGATCGCTTAATTATAGAAACCGATTGTTTTACTTTTTTGCAATGCTTTTAATTCTAGCCATTTGGATTTTTCTTATGTAGATTCTATTGTGAAGCAATGTTTATTGATTGCTAGCGAATCGAGTCAAGAGATCAGCGAATCGAGTCCATTGGGAACGTTGTTGTTCGCCATGTCAAGAGATCAGCGAATCGAGTAGCTCATGTCCTTGCACTAGCGACTGATTCTTCGTCTGACTCGGGTGTGTGCTCGATTGTACCTCCGAATTGTATTTCCAATTTTCTGGATCAGTAATGTTAATATCTTTGGTTTAAAAAAAAAATGTGTGAGACTGTTAAATTGAAGGACAAATATGTCATTTCAAGTTCTATCTTTTCCCTTATAACCTTAAGCCATTGACAACATTAACAAAACAATTTCAGGAGTTTATTTACTCAATTCATCATAAGCAAATCTGTCATTTAGGTTATGTTGTTCAGTGGATCGATCGAGCTATTCATCAAAAGCAAATAATGTTGTTTGCCAGCTAATCGACAACCTATCTTCTTGACACCAAATTTTATATTTTATATATATACAGAGGCAGATCCAGAGGGGTGCAATGGGGGCAGTTACCCCCCTCACCTCTCCCTACCCCTTTATATATATATATATATATATATATATATATATATATATATATATATATATATATATATATATATATATATATATATATATATATATATATATATATATATATATATATATATATATATATATATATATATATATATATATATATATATATATATATATATATATATATATATATATATATATATATATATATATATATATATATATAGTTAATACCCAAAATTGTCCTCGACTATAGTGGTTTTTCTCAATTTCGTCCTAAACGACTTTGGTGACCTAATATCGTCCCAGACTTTTGTGTTTCGCTCAATTTAGTCCTCCATTTGTTATTCCGTCAAATTAGTGTTAAATTAAGGGACAATTCAGTAATGTTAATATTGATCTCTCTTTACTTTCAACTTGTGAAGTGCGAAATTCATCTTTCTTGTACGAATTACACCCAGATTTACTTTCGGACCTGCAAATCAAATTTTATATTCGCAGTTTTAGGAGTAATTTTGGAGTAATTCGTAAAAAAAAAGGGAATTTCGCAGTTCACATGTCTATGAGTAAAGAGATGCCAATATTAAAATTACTGAATTGTCTATTTATTTAACACCAAATTGACAGAATAACAAATGAGGGACTAAATTGAGCAAAAACACAAAAATCTGGGACTAAATTGAGCGAAACACAAAAGTCTGGGACGATATTAGGTCACCAAAGTCGTTTAGGACGAAATTGAGAAAAACCACTATAGTCGAGGACGATTTTGGGTATTAACTCTATATATATATATATATATATATATATATATATATATATATATATATATATATATATATATATATATATATATATATATATATATATATATATGGATGAGATCTAGTGTGAAAGGTGAAACATGCAGTGAGACCTAAGTCGTTGATCACATCCAGATCAATGTCTCAAATCAATGGAAAAAAAAAACGCGTCATGAGAAAACATAAGCAAAGTGTAAAATGGTGCATCTTAAGTGTTACAAAGAAGCACCTTCAATGTTAAAATTACGCTACTTCAATGTTAAAAATGGCGCACCTTAAATGTTAAAATGCCGCACTTAAGTGTAGAACTTATGCACCTTAAGTGTATAACTGACGCACCTTAAATTTTTAAATGGCGCACCTTAAGTGTTAAAAAGATGCACCTTAAGGTTTAGAATGACGCACATTAAGTTTCAACAAATAACGCACATTAAGTTCTTAAGTGTATAAATGACACACCTTTAAGTGTTAAAATGACACACCTTAAGTATTAAAACGACACACCTTAAGTATTATTATTATTATTATTATTATTATTATTATTATTATTATTATTATTATTACTATTACTATTACTATTACTGTTACTGTTACTGTTACTGTTACTGTTACTGTTACTGTTACTGTTACTGTTACTGTTACTGTTACTGTTACTGTTACTGTTACTGTTACTGTTACTATTACTATTACTATTACTATTACTACTAATATTACTATTATTATTATTACTATTATTATTATTACTATTACTACTAATATTACTATTACTACTAATATTACTATTATTCTATAATAACATAACTAGTAATTGTCCCGTGCGATGCACGAACTATTATTAATTTAACAAATTTACCAATTAAATTTTTGACATCCTCTGAATTAGCAAAGAAAATAATGGTTGTGGAAATAGAAAAACGTACTTGAGTTCTTGAGCTCAGAATTAGTTTGATTAAAAATGTAAATATAGCTGTACAATGTAATATTTAATATTTTTAAAAGTTTAATTATGCTATTATTATGTTGATCGATTTTAAAGTTTATTGTTACTTTTATTATTATTTGCATTTAATGTCTGAGGATGAGGTGGTGGTGGCTACGGCAAAGCGTCGTAGGCATGGAACGGAGGGGGGAGAGGATAGTGGAAACGATGAGGTACCAATCGCAGCTGTTTCAAAAAACTTGTCCATGGCGGGAGCTGGTGTCCAGCCCCGCCCATCATCATGAGTACTCTGAGCTGGAACTGTCGTGGCTTGGGCAATCCACGCACAGTTCGACAGATTGTGGGCCTTGTGTCCAGTAAGAAGCCTGATTTTGTGTTCTTGATGGAGACCAAGGTACCACGGATACATGCAGAACGGATCCTGGTTACGCTTGGTTATGAAGGTTTGTTTTATGTTGATAACGATGGTTTGAGTGGAGGAATGGCGCTTTTATGGAAAAAGAATAATACGGTGAGGCTATTAAGCTACTCACAGAGTCATATTGATGTGGAGGTAAGCTTGTTTAATAAGATATGGCGCATGACATGCATTTATGGTATCCCCGAACGTGGCAGGCGGGAGGAGACATGGGATTTACTTGGTACTCTCAAGACTAGATCCTTGTTGCCCTGGGTGGTGATAGGAGATTTTAATAATCTACTATACCAGCATGAGAAGAAGGGGGGAAATCCGTATCCTAATAGTCTGTTAAGGGGTTTCGGAGATGCTGTGGATGACTGTGGTTTGGTGCAAATGCCAATGAGGGGCCATCAGTATACGTGGCAAAAGGGAAAGGGGACGCCGAATTAGATAGAGGAAAGATTGGACAAGGCATTAATAACGAATGATTGGGGTCTACTTAATGAGAATGCATGGCTGGAGAATATTCGAACCCAGGCCTCGGATCATTCGATCCTATTCCTCAGTATTAATGCGTTTTGCATGCCGAAAAAAAATATGTATAAATACATCTACTCATACAATTAATGCATTCATACTTGCTAATCTTGTTTTTATCAAAATACGTTCACACTTTGAAGGGAAAATTTTGTGGCTAGATTCTACTTTATTATATGGAAAAAGAAAAGATGTAAAGATAAAAATAAATGATATATAGATAGAGGTTTGTTTTTGCCTAAACTGAATTTAAAGGTTTTCTTATAAATAAAATGAATTAAATTGTGGTGAACAAGAGGCACCAGTGGTCTAGTGGTAGAATAGTACCCTGCCACGGTACAGACCCGGGTTTGATCTCGGCTGGTGCATTCTCTTGTTTAAGAGCTAATGACAACTATGTTAGATTGGTGATTGGGTTGCTATAAGTTTCTGTATTTTGTCGGCCGATTAACTGCGCATCTGAGCTTCTGTTTTAGACTTTCTGCATTTTTTCCCACTAAAATCTCTGCACTTTGACACCAAAACTTCTTTTATTTGTGATAAACTTTAAATAAATAAATGACAAATGATACTGGCTTTTTGGACAATTCGAGAACTAATATAACTATAACAGTCATTGAAACAAAAAATAAATATATAGAGATTTTTAAAATATGTATAAATTAATATAATCAAACTTGATAATTGATTTGAATAAGTGCTATGTCAGTCGTTATACCGCGCACAATGCGCACCATCCTATCCAAAACGACATCATTGGGTGCATTATTCAAAAAAATTTATCTGTTTCGATTTTCGAATACACATAAACTCATAACAAAATACACAGAAATTCATAACTGAATACACATAATCTAACATGATACATAATACACATAAACTCTTAACTGAATACACAGAAACTCTTAAATGAATCACATAAACTCTTAATTGAATACACAGAAACTCTTAAATGAATCACATAAACTCTTAACTGAATACACAGAAATTCATAACACAATACACATAAACTTTAACTGAATACATAATGGGGTTTGGGCCGTTTGGACGGACGGAGTGACATCAGCAATTGAAATGCGCACGTTTTATGCTTGGGCACATATTGCTATGTGTGTCGTGGTACACGATATAAATTGCCGTGCTCTGTAGTGCACCACCAAAAAGGAAAAAAATGTTGCGGGCTCAATAGACACGTTGAATAGTACCGTTGGACCAACGCATCTATTGAACCCGTTAACGGGTCAAGTGCACTATAGATCAAGTGCACCACACACAAACTTGTATTGCACCGCCAAAATATACATGTTGTAGGAAATTATGAAATTGTCATTGCGTATTTTTTTCTTTTTCATTGATTTTCATCCGTTTGATCTCAGCTAATCCTACAGCTCTGGCATGCCTGCATGACCACAAGAAAAGCAGTAGCAATAGGGTTTAATGTTAGTCATTGATCTTGTCAAAATTAACGTTTAGGATAGACATAGATTACAAAAAGGCAATGATAATTTGATAATTTTGAGTATTGTTCAAAGTTTTTTTGAAAACTTAAGATGCACTATTATTCAAACTTAAGGTGCACTATTGTTCAAATTTTGTTTCCTCTTACTTTCAAATTAATGTGTCAAAGGCCACTATTTGACGTTGTAAACTCTTTTAATTAAATGATAAAATTACATATCATCCATATTTTATTTAATAGTGAAATTAAAAAATTTTTAAATGATAATTAATTGTGGTAACCAAATTAAAATCAATTATTTGATGTGTTTAAATTAAAAGAGCAATAGCCATATTTATTAAAGGGTCAAATAAAAAAATTATTTGTGATAAACAAATAAAATTTAATGATGTAATGCGACAAAATAAAAGAGCGGGACTAAATCATGACTAAATGTGTC